GGTGCAGGGGCAGAGCTCTGGTGACCCCCAGGGGGATGCAGGTGCAGGGGCAGAGCTCTGGTGACCCCCAGGGGGATGCAGGTGCAGGGGCAGAGCTCTGGTGACCCCCAGGGGGATGCAGGTGCAGGGGCAGAGCTCTGGTGACCCCCAGGGGGATGCAGGTGCAGGGGCAGAGCTCTGGTGACCCCCTGGGGAACTCGGGTGCAGGGGCGGGGCTCCCCTGCCACCCTGGGGACCCCGGGTGCAGGGGTGGGATCCCGTGGCCCCCAGGGGAACCCGTTAGCCTTCTCCTGCATGTTCAGGATGCTCCCTAGACAGCAGCCAAGACTAGCCCTGAACTCACCGTTCTCCTGCCTCAGCCTAAGGAGTAGCTGGAATGGCACCCAAAGACAGGTTTCCTTTTCCAACTCTCCCATAGTCCTTGCAAGCACGTGAAGGTCCCCACGAACAGGTCCTGGGCACGGTACCGGGAGCTTAGTGCATCCCCAGCCTCAAAACCCTTGTTCAGCCCGGCGTTGGTGGCACACGCCTTTAACCCCAGCACTTGGGAGGTAGAGGCAGGCGGATCTCTGTGAGTTCGAGACCAGCCTGGTCTACAAGAGCTGGTTCCAGGACAGCCTCCAAAGCCACAGAGAAACCCTGTCTCGAAACAACAACAACAAAACCGTGTTCAAAACAAACAAAAAACCCTCCTGCAAACCGCCTTTGTGGCGCAGGCCTGCTCTGGGCGCAGGTGCAGGGTCGGCTGAGATGACTCAGTGCATTCAGAATGGAACTCAGTGTCAACGCTGACAACCGTAGTCCTATCCCCACGTGATGGACCTCCGCAGGCTCCTGGTGGCACGAGCTCGACCACACACTTACAAAAGTGTATATCAAATAAAAATATTATTTTAAGTCTTGTGCAAAATAACAAAACAAAAATAAAAAAAGAAAACAAAAATGTGTGCAGAAGAAGGATCTGGAGTTCAAGGCCATTTTGGGCTACGTAGAGGGCTCTAGAACGGCCTAGGCTACAAGACCGTGTCTAGCGCCACCCCTGGGCCAGGCGCTTCCCTCGGTCTAAGCGCCGAGGCCCGCGTGCCAACGGTTTCGCTTTGCTGACGGCGCCCCCTGGCGTGCAAATGACCCGAAAGCCTCTCCCGGGTCAAGCGCATCTACGGACACCGGCAAACCTGACCTTCTGGGGCAAGAATCTGACTAGATGTGGTAGAAGGCTACGAACCTAGGAGTCATGACTCCTCAAGCAGTTCATCCACCTCCGTTCCCAACTTGGAGTAGTGGGGGAAGCCGAGGCTCAGGACTGAATACCTGCTAGCCACCAAGCCTGAATGCCTGAACTAGAGCCTGCTCCCACAAGTTGTCCCTTGACCCCTATCTGTGTCCCCCACAAGAACTAACAAATTAAAATCTTAAATTATTATGATTATTAGTTTGCTTTTTGAGACAGGTTTCACTATGTAGCCCTGGATGTCCTGGAACTCACTTTATAGACCAGGCTCGTCTGGAACTCAAGAGATGTCTGTCTCTTCCTCAAGTGCTGGGATTAAAGGCACGCACCATCACCACCTGGCTGGAATTTTAAAATATTAATTAAAAAAGAAAATTAGAAGCCATCATTCACCCCTTATGGGAATGCAAAATTTGTATAGTTGCCATGGGAATCTGTTTTGTAGTTCCACGGACAAACAGTAAAATGGAGTTAGCATAGGTATGGGCAGTTTGACTCATAGAACTTCACTACTGGGGTCAGGGGCCCCCATACCTGCATATGCCTATTCGTAGTGTTGTAACTGACACTTGCCAAGAGGTAGAAACACCCCAAATGTACATCAACAGACCAACTCATGTGGGTATGTCCAGAGTCGAGTATTGCTCAGCCATGAACAGGAATAAAGCAGGGACACAGTGGTATTGAGTCGCAGCCTGGCAGAGATGTCCCGCACAGG